CGCTGAAGCGTCAACCATTTCTGGCCGGCAACTTTCAGCGTCATTAAGCCGCTGCGCCACCGCGTCCCCCACCCAGGAGAACTAGCTGGAAATAATTAAAAGCCTGAATTTAATAAAAGGTAAAACTCTGGACACAGATTTGTAAAGAAAAGTTCCTTGTTAGTGCACAATAAGAAAAAAAGGACAGAAATCAGATTAAACCTCCTTCTGGGACAATCAAATATCTGAAGAGTCACTCCAATCTGTAACAGTGACCAAGCTGCTTTTCTGTGTGCTTGAAGTATCTGCCTCTTGAAGTCCTGTTTAAAAAGAAAACTGCACAATTATTTTGAAAGATGTTCATTGACAAAGACGCTACCATTCCCTGGGACCTACTGTTTCACATTCTTACACTCAGAAAGGTTCTCATTATTATCCAGTCTAAATCTTTTCAGAAAAATATTGTCTCCCATAATCAAAGCTGGCCAATGTGGGAACTATCCAGCTTTGGAATCAGTGCCACTGGGCATAGCTATGAAATGCATAAAACTGTAACCACCCTCACCAGCCCCTAAATGACTGCAGTGCAATCTTGTTGCCACAGGAACTCTTTCTTCTTCACTACTAGGATACCATAATTTATATCATATATAAATCTATTAATAAATAAGTAAATAAATAATACAACTGGTGGGTCTATGTAAACAGTATCCACAGTCATAGTAGATGTAACTCTGGATTAAACCTCCCCTTTCAAATTGTTCAGGAAAAATATAACACAGCAGTTCCAGCATGAAAATACCTTCATCCTTTATTGGCTTTCCCACAGGATTTTCCCATCCATGGATCATGGATATAGCATATGGATCATTCTTTTCAACACCAGGTACATTCTTATTTTTCTCATCTTTCAAAAGTTTTTCATCTTCCAGAGATGATAAATCCCAGTCATCCTCATCTTCAACACCTGTAAACTATAAAGAAAAAAAAAATAACAGCAATTTCTTTAACTTTGGAAATATTTAGCAATAGTTCATTGAGCAGTGGTTGTCAGTCTTTTTGAGCACAGTAACTGCACTAATGCCTGTATATTTAAGATGAAAGGGACACATGAGACAATTAGAGGAACTTTGGAATTCACAGGACTAATACAGAAAAACAATGGTTTTATTTTTCTGCTCTTACTTAAAAAATAAAATTGGAGAGAAAGTATAGAAATGCACAGAGTATTTTCCTGATTCATTATTAAACAATATATCAATGTAGGTAGAAAAAAAAGTAACATGTTATTCTAAAAAAGAAAACAGTGACCTCTATTGAAAGGATGTAGAATGAGCAATGTGAAAGCAAAAAGTATTGTCTATCAGATTTTATAGTTACAATGCTTTTTTAAAAAAAACATACAGCCATGTTAAAATGTTTCTACTTGTATCTCATTCATTTACACTGGAAAGAGTTAAATATGTGTTTCATTCTCCATTAAAATTAATGCTTTATTAAAACTGCATTTAGAACTCACTCCACTGGATACAAAGGAACATAAGTCTGTACAGAATTCTACTGCTGTGAACTTAATACTGGCAGCTGTTTGTTAGGAAAAGCTTTGTAGCAATAAGAACAGTTTGACAGTGGAACCAACAACTGTGGGAGGTGGTGGATTCCTGTTCACTAGATGTATACAAGCAGAGGCCATAAATTTGGGGAATTTCTGCATGGAGTACCATTCTGGACCTGATGGCTTGAGTTGCCCTTTCCAACCATACAGTTCTATTATTATTCCAGATCACATCAGAGAGTCAAATGAAAGCGTGCACAGGAGCAAGAATAGGATCAGAAAATATTTAATGGGACTGTTTAGAACCTCATTTAGGAAATACCTTTACTCCTTGGACACACATTTGAATAGATGCTGAAACACCATTAGTTCCTCCAATTTGTTTACTTTCCTTTCGTTGGCTCAAAAGAAACTTTTCCATTTCATCCATTTCATTTTGAATTAAAGAGCCTAAAACCATCAAGACAGAAGAGAGACAGCTTACAAACCAAATATTTTGAAGACACAGTGGCAATCCATGCTGCACTGTCACTACTTTTCCTTAACAAGACTTAGTTCTGAGACTACGTCGTACAGTGGTTACTGCCCCCTCCCCACCAATCTTTCCTCCAGGATCTCAAGGAGGTGTACATAGCATACTCTCCTTCAATTTTTCCCTACCACAATAACCTTGTGAGCTAGATTGGTCTAATAAAAACTGACCCCAAATCATACAGTAAGTTTCCAAGGCTGAAGACAGATTGGAAGCTGGGCCTCCCTTTTCTGTCTCAGCAAACAGCAGCCTTTGGCCGCCCTAGTTTGGGTTGTGAAACTGCATGCCAGGCGAGTGGCAAGGAGGGTTTCTACTTTTGCACTCAGCCCAGGTTCTGCCCCTTTCATTCCTGCCCACCTTAAATGCAACCAGCTGCTGCAAGAGGTGGAGAGAACGAGAGGGCCCCTCTCTGCCATCCCTCAGCAGGCTTGTCACACTGCTATACCACCTCAGATTTTAAATTAAGAAAATTTTCAAAAGTGAATATACTGTTCACTTATTTTATATTTTTATTTCATAACACAGATGAAAATTTATTTATTTTTGGTGTACAGGATGTGGCCCAATCAAAATTAACCTTGCATTAATTGGTTGACAATTAGATGGAAGGCAGAAGGCTCAGTGGGTATGATTTCTGTGCCTATCAGCTGGTCAGGAATGGATGTAGATTCTAGACACTAAGATGCTACTGAAACAAGTCACACAGTGGAACCAGGACAGTATGATTATCAATAATTCTGCACAATCCTGGACACTGGATAGGAAATTACAGCACTCAAAGCAGAGGAAAAGAATAGTTTCATCAGAGATGAGCCATTTTTGCAGGGACATTATCATCCAAACACTGACCTGAAAAATTAAGTAGTAACTTCAAATCCTGAGATTAATCATATGAAATTTTGATGATCTCCCACCCAAGATCACATGCAAGAATGATGAAATCTTAAAATAACTCAATCTCACAAGATTTCAGCCATTTTTTAAAAGTAATAATTTGGAGGTTTTGCAAAGATCACTTAGATTAGGTACTGTTTTCCTAGCATGGTTCCTTTGGTTCAGCTTGCCAGTTTCTCCTCCCCTACAAGTGCCACATATTTTTAGCTTTTCCCCAAAGACTGCCCACATAATTAACTTTTGTACTTCTGGATGGCTTAAGTTCTACTTCGTCTTCAGGGAAGTTTACATCACTCTGATTTGCAAATCTTGGCAAGTTGTCTTTGCTGTTGCACTTTGATGCCTTATGCAGAGATAATTCAGGTGAGATGTAGGACTGCATGATATCATCTTCCTCCACTTCCTCTTCTGAGCTAAATGGAGGAGTTCTGGGAAAACAAAAACTGATCTATGAATTTAGCCTGTTTCAGTTACAGTAATTTTAAAAATATGAACTAACTTTCTATAATAAAAGTAGAATCAGTAATACTCCTGTCAAACATTGTACCTTAGACAGTTTCCTTAGAAACTCTCTTATGCAAGCAAGGATAATTGGGAGCTGTCACCCATTCCTGGAGATTATTTTGGCATCAACAGGCAGATATATAGCTTTTTATGTCAGAGGAGAATGAAGCACTGACTTTTAATCCAGGGTAACACCGCTCTAAAGTTGGATAAATTAATTCTTATATATTTTAGGCAGAATTCTGTTCAGCCTTCTCCAAAGAAGTGCTGAACTAACTCCCTTCATGACTTTTAGTGAAGGAACCTGTATTCCAGCATCTTTCAAAAGCACAAGGTTGCGAAATGCTGACCTAAATAGATTTTTAGCCAATCAGTTGATTTCATCCAAGTTAAAAGATGGATGACATACAGTAGTCCAATCATAACCATTGGTGGTTCCTGTTGTGTACACTATTTAGTGTAATTAATGGTATCAGAAGTGTACAAATAGCATTTGAGGAGGCTAAGAAACCAGAAGAGGGTTAGCAGATTTCTAATCAGAGGCAGAATGTCCTGCCCACCCTTCTGCTCCCCTCTCCTTTTGTTCTGTCCTTATTTCCAATCAGCCTACAGTACTTCTTTAGGCAAGTGTTATATCCAATTTGCTCCAAAATTAATTTTGGTTTTCTAATAGGGTTCATATTTCCAAGCATCCAAACCAAAATGAAGGCAGCTTACACAGTACTTGGTGGCTTTCTTGAAATTTCATCCTTCAACATACTTTTCTTGATTCTGGAAGAAGGGAAAAACAAATATTTGCAGCTTCTATTGGCTAATAAGATGGTTATTTTATATATTGCAAATTTTCTCCTCCATTTCCTCACTGGAGCAAACTTATGGATGTGGTTTATATGTAAATTAAACTGACTACTCTCCTTGTTCTTCTTACAAATTTAAATGTTCATTTTGATGAGATCAGAGAAAATAATATAACTATTTAGTAATTCCCACCATTACTTCCTGATCATCAAGAAGACAACACTAACAGCTACCCTAAAAACATGCAACAATTACATCTCACCTGAAATTTTCAACTTACTTTGGGGTAGATGTGTTTTCAGCAGGCAATGTTCTTTGCATGGGTGAACGTTTGGCAATGGAAGAACGTTTTACGGGCTTGGACAAAACAGTGGATAATGAAGTTCCTAAGTGAGCTGCCCTCTGTTTAGCTGTAATGAAATTATAACTAAGGAGAATCCAGTCTTATTTAAACCAAATGCCATAGCTATGAAAGGATGCACAGTGAAATCATGTCAGAGAAAAGAAGAAAAAGCAGTATCTTCAGTTTCATTTTAGCATGTTAGTTCATCTAACTCTTAGCTAGATAGTCTTTCATTACCTTATTCTAGCAAGTCACTGGACCACCAAATCACGGGCTCTCTTTAGGCT